GTATCTCTCCTGAATATGAAATGCTGAAGTTGACGATGGCAAGTAGAAAGTGTTCTCAAATTCCTTAAATGCGCTACTTGTGGTGCACGTTGCTGCGAAGGTAGCAGGTCTGAAAACACCAACAAAATCAGCGAAGCGCTTGCCAAGGAAAGAAGGTGCGGAACTGCTTACCCTATCCTGCTGGAAGGTCGTTACAGTGTACCTGAAAAATGCTAGCTTGCCTTCATCGCCAGCCACCTGGAGGCATGGGTCATTTGAAAACGAAGTTTCTTGACCTGAAGTTGAACGCGCGTCTTATTCAGCATATTGAGTGCTGAAGGGTCTGCCTCAAACTCTGATGAGTACGTCGACCTTAGCTGCAAGTGAAGCAAAGCGGGAGGCCACAAACTAAAGCTTGGTCCGTCGACAATGCTCTGCCTTAATTTCTATCTGATTTCTTTGCCTTTCGAGTGGAAAAAATAAATTCGAAGAATTGCTCTGGGAAACGACAATTTAATGACGCGGAGGAAGTAAAAATAAAAATAGATCGTCTTCGCTTGGCTTCCGCTCGTCATGTATATTACATACCTTCGGGTTGGGTGGTCTGTTACTTTGCGTCTTCAAGTTGGAGTAAGACCGGTACGTCCGATTGTCTTACTAGTCTCATTAATCATCCTGTAATGTTCGGCATTCTTTGTTACCCCGCAACATAGCTTGTGCACATCTTTGTTGCACTTTAACTCCACTCATTTGGAACTTTGCACACCTGAGTCGTCCAAGTTGGAAAGTTGTTGGTTGGTGCTTGGTACATGTGTTGGAGCTAGGTGTCTGGTCGTTGAATGTCTCAGTACCACTGTCATATTGTGCCTTGTTGTCGCAGTTCTGCATAACTTTAATCTTTGACGCCCATTTTCGGAGACGACGATAGCGATACTACAACAGAAGCCGTACTAAGTTGTGCTGGGATTGCACCATGCCACAGCTTGCAAGGCCGATTAATTGACCAATACCGTGCTCACGCGATTAGAGCCCTATCTCGAATTTGCCCCAGTCTCTAAGAGCCAGTGGAAAAAGAAACCCGTCTCTTGTATAGTGCCCCCCCCCCTCCCCCACCATCCCCACCCCCCCCCCCCCCCCCGGCTTGGAAGCAAGCTGATGTGCAAGTTTGGTGATCTTTTGATACTGCTCTTGTCCATGTCATTGAATTGGTGGTTTCAGAATCAAAATCACAGTTCTTGCTGCCCTTTCTTTTGATTTTGATTGGTTGCAGTAAACTTTAGGCTCTGTTTCGTTGCCTGTCTTGAATAGTGCCCTATCTTGAATAGCGACCCATCTGTGGTGGACTATAAAAAATAGTGCACTTATCGCTCGAGTACGCTACTACTCAAAGTGGTTTACATGCCACAACTATTTGACGTATTTTTTCTGACCAATGAATTCTTACTTGTTGGCCTTTTTTTTCTCGATATTATGCTGCACACACATAACACCACCTACTTCGGCATGCACTGGTTATTGGTAAAAACCCAGGAGAATGAAGGAAACGTCAGTACGAGACTAAGGTTGCGCTAGGTGGACCAATTTCAGAATGTTAATGACAACCATGTTGGTACTTTCTCCGACTTTTTTGACTAATTTTCGCTCCTGTTCCGTTGCTCTCTGTGTGGCTCTCTCGGCATGAAAGACAGACAGATGACATTATTGGAACCATAGGAAGGCATTATTCACATTCTTGAAAGACGACAGTCATCGCAAGGCAAGGATGTCGTGCTGTAAAGCAATGGGAGTGACGATGTTTTGCATTTTGTCCAACAGGCACATTGCCATGCAACAAAAGAACTGGGCTAACTGCTCGTCGTTTACAGTTTTTGGCTCACAATGAGAAAGAGAAGGGCAAAGGTACTGAGGAGCAAGAATAGTATGACAGGGATAGCAGCTAGCTTTTTTGGAATCTGCGTCATCCCCGAAAACACCAGCCAAAGTGCGAACAGGTCAGCAGGATGTCAAAAACTCCATAACGCAAAGAAGTGACTCACTTCGCTCAGCACAACAAAGCTAAAAAGTTCAAAATTGAAGTCGTCGTCCGCTACCGCGTATTCAACGTGGAAGATCTTGCTCTGTTCAGCAGCCTCCACTCCGATGTCTTCTTGGTCGCATACAAGTTGCAGTTGTGAAGTGATGGTACGACTACAATGCAGATAACATGCAAAATGTTTGGCTTTTCCTGTACGCGTCGTCGTTCCGGGGCACCCTCAAGAGCAGAGGCGATAAGTACCAGCGTCACCGCGGTCTCCCCCTAGATTTTTATTTATTTATTTACTGTTTGCTAGAGCTGAAAGGAATATTCGAATTATTCGAATATTCGAAATGTGCAGATCGGAAAAAGAATATTCTTCGTTAGAGTAGAATAAGAATGTTCGTAAATGTAAAGAAACTCGCCTTTTTGATATCGAACAGGTTTTTTTGGTGCAGAAAGTGGGTGAGATTGCCACCTTCCATGTGTTGTCATCAGCAAGACAAATGATAACATTGCCCTTTTCAAATGTCCCTCCTGTAATTGGGATATACACCAGTTGATTGTATATGGTTACCATGGATACAACTAGGTATCCATGGATATTGTATGGTTTAGAATATTCGGAATATTCTTCGTTTCACACGTATTCGGAAAGAGAATATTCGTTCGCTTCATTGAGCATTCGTTTCAGCCCTACTGTTTGCACTTCATGTCACATAATGAAAATAGCCAATAAAAAGAAGTAAAGATGAAACCAACCACGGACCGAGAACAAAAATGCAAATCAAAGAGAGAAAATGAAGAAGAAAAAAGAAAGAGCGTTACTTACGAAGAGTGATGCTAGGGAAGGCACATGTGTAAACCATATACTTTGAAGTACTAGTAACAGCGAAGACGATCTGGGACACGGAGAAATGCCCGCCGGGGCTGGTACATGAGTATGATCCAGTCTGTTCTCTGCTATGCCTGCAACTGTTTCTTTCCCGCTCTATCCAAACTGCTGCTACATCGACTGACATGCATTGTTAAGTCTGGCATACGAGCCATCTTCCAACTTCCCAGAAGGACCCCCACTGCTCCCCTGTTTGTCAGACTATCATTGCCTCAGCTCCACCAGTTGTACGTGCAACGTCTGCTTCTCTTCGTCTTCCGCTGCCTTCATGGCGGAGCCAGCTCACTGTTCACATCCTACTACTCCCTCATTGCCACGGATGTGGACAGAAGTTGTGTCATGCGTGGTCAGGTCAGCCAGCTGCTCAGAGTCCCGTTCCTACCTGGTCCCTCATTCCGTAGCTCTATCGCCTTTGTTGGCAGTACCACATGGAACTCTCTCACTGCTGATATTCGCGTTTGCGACGCACGCCACACGTTTCAAGCATTGCTGTCTGGCTATGACCTTATCTCCCTCCTCAACTAGCTCTCCGATGTTGTGCCTACTATGTCTTCTTCACAGATTCTGCCTGAACAGATGCTCATCATTTATGTTCTTGTCCTCTATCCTAGTCCAAATCCTGCCTTGCCCATGCATGACTCTCTTGAAATGCCCGTACTAAATAGTCTATAGAACAAGAATATTTGATATCAAACTTCTCTCATCAACTATGATAATACCTATTTCCTACCCCCTCCCCTTCATAAAATTAATAACTACTGTTTTCTTTCCTTTCATTTCATCTTCTTTTCCGTTCCTTTCTTCTTCATACACATTTTAAACATTTTCATCATATTGTGAGAGCCGTGGGCCAATAGCCCCGGTGAGAAGGCAGTCTTGCCTGTTCATATGGTGAAGTAAAATACAGAAACAACAACAACAAGCTGCACTGTGACATGCGAGAACACGTAGATCGACCTGCTACTTTGGTTGGTTCCAGCGGTGATGAATCGACCAATGGCAACTTTGACTGAGACTCTATTCCCATCAATCGGTCTTGCAGATTTTTTAATACATGTCCATTGAGTGTGTTGGAGTGTTTTCCTTCCAATAATACACTTTCGTCGAGCAGAGTTGCTCACAGAAAAGTCACGTGAAAATGTCATGAATTTTATGTTTCCGGAGGACGTAATATCACCACCAGCCCCCCCCCCCCCCCCTCACACGAACACACATACATACACACATGCACACACACTTGTACTTGTACTTGTCACTGCCAAAACTGGTCACGTGGGTCTCCCCGGGAGAGGGGAGAGGGACCCAAAAGGAATCTTGGAAAAATGACTCAATTGGCTATTGAACCGCGCAACGGCCGACAGCCCTTGAAATCCCCAAACCTTCGGTGAAATCACCCTGAAATCCCCAAAAATATACAAAACTCTGGGTTAACAGGTATGTATACTAAAATAGAAAGTATAATTATGAACCCTGGAACCAACAAAGGTGGCAGGTACAACATTACACCTTCAAGCAGCCGAGCCTGTTGGCAACACACCCAACACAATCAGGCATAAGTGTACCCACCAACCGAACTAGGTGGCACCACACACACACACACACACACACACACGCACTCGCGCACGCACGCATGCACGCGCGCACACACACACACGCACACACACACACACACACACACACACACACACACACAAACACAAAAACGCACACACACACCGGTTCTGTCCTTTGTGGCTTCATCAATACAGCACTGGGGGAATGGGGCTCAGCCTGATCACAATGATAAGTGAAAAGCTGAAGAATTGACCAATACTACTCAGCCTGATTTACAGCGCACAGGTTTTTGAGGTGTTTTGTTTTCCCGTGCAGTGAGTTCCTACACCGTTTCTTGATATGTGTTCCTTGTTAAGCCAATACGTAATCAAACACCGTGCACATAGCACGGTATGTTATAAAGACCACATCGATAACATATTCAACATTCATTATTATTTTTTCTCCCGTTATGTGAACAGATTGTATGACGAATACTGATTGGCCAACAAGCTAGTATGATTTTCACCCGGTCAGAATTGTTAAGTTATGAATATGATCTCTACTGTGTATCTACAGGTTGCAACACAAAATCACTATAGGTCCATCCACAATAGCTGTACATCATTTGGTAGCTACGGTAATGGCAGGGTGCAGTTCACTAATCCATATGGCATCACAATCAGCAACGATGGAAAGGTCTTTATTGCTGATATGAGCAATCATCGGGTGAAGGTTAGTTTATAGAAACCAGCACACAGATCTATCTCAATACACAATTTTCATCATCTTCTTGATGTATAGCAAGACATGTAAACTGCATCTGCAGTATTTCTCTACAGTAAGTCATTGGTCTGGTAGATAGTGTTATCAACCCACATTTCCTTATGATAGTTTCTCCGGTTTTAAAAGTGATGACACCATTGGAAAGTGGGAAACTTTCTCTAGGATCCCCATATTCTATTTGCATATCGGAGCTTTGGGATTCGATATAACAGTGTATACCAACCCGAAATCGGGTTTTCCTTTGCTCGACATAGCAGTTATACTACAAATTGGGAGAACAAAATTTCGTAAAAGAAAACTGCCTCACACGTAATCCATCAGCTCAAACGCGCAAACTCTACCTTCTTCTTCATCTTTTTTTTCTTCGAGGAAGTGCTTAGTTGAAGTTTTCTGTTGTCTGAGTTTCGGTATGGAATGCGCACCTCAGGATGTTTTTTCTCTAGTCCAGCAGGCTCTGGGCCAAACCTTGCGCCCACTCGAGAGGCGTTTGGCATCTTTGGAATGCCACAATAGTCAATGCGGGTGTGAAATTTGGAGTCCAACTCTAGGCAAGAGCATGACTCACGGATCGTGGATGGTACATGTACCCCGGAAACTGATCCACTCCTGATCCCAGTTGCTTCCCAATTGGCTGAGTCCTCTTTAGCGAGGTCTACTCTGCCCGCGCAGGCTTCTAGAGCCGGTCTTGAGCATACGCGTGGCGGGGTCGTTGATGGCGACCTGGTAAATAATCCCACCCTGAAGCCACTTGCTGCTCGGTCTACCTCGAGAGAGCCACCTAGGCTACAACCTCTTCCCTCAAACCTGTGTGATCCTGAAGATCCAGCAGGTCTGGCACAATCAAGCCACTTGCCGCTTGTACGACGCTATCTGGTATGGCAGCTGATGATTTGGACTCTCAGTCTGGTAGCACATATAGTCTGGAGTTCGACTGTGTGGGTCCCATTACTGACTGGCCAGTGGATGACGGGGATGAGGAGGAGAAAGGGTTTACCCGATATGTTTTGTACGAAACTGCCAAGCTTCCCAAGTCATGTCTTTGCTCAGAACTCCGACGCAAATCCGGCAGGCATTTTCCCGCCGCTACACTTGCCCGGACACTCCCGCTGCATTAGTCCTGGCTTAGGATGCGCAAGTCGCCCGCATGGTATATTCTGCTGACAGGAAGCCACCTCGGTTAGAGGCTCGGCCGGATAGGCCTCAGTACCTGACGCAGCCGAAGTTGTTGAATGTGGTGGATCCCGTTGTGCTTCATTCTTGAGGTACAAGAACCCTGACTTCAGTGAGCAAGGTCAGCAGATCCAGGGCCGGAGGAAGGAGTTTGGGAGTGGTCCAGCCAACCTTTGAGGGGGGTCCGGGGGATGTCCCACGGGAGAAATATTGAAAATTTACGTGAAATAGGGCGAATTTGCATCTCGTGAGGCTCCAGAAAATGCAGAGAATTATCGTAAAAGAACACAAAAGCTACGATTTTTCCATAATATTAAAGCCATACAGTGCCGGTGATGGTAGCATCCAAGAGATTGAAAACTGTCTGTAAGGAATAGGTAAAAAAACGATCTATAAAGATTTTAGTAACTATGATCTCGTGTCGACTTCTCCATGTATGCGATACGATCGACACCCTCGATCAAAAGAGGAGTCTCTTTCGATCGAGACTCTTCTGTCTTGTGAGATGTTTTCGCTCGCTTCCAATGTTGCCTAGTGCGTGCATTTCGTTAGGAGTGACTGGTGGTACTTCTTTGGTGGAAGGTGAGCTCATGAGGTCGTGCTGCAGTCTGCTTGTCACGTAGCCCTGAGCTACTTCGAAGCACATCACACGTCGGCAGTACAGTCGAGACATGAACCTCTGGATTTTTACACCGATTTTGCACGAATCACATGGACCATCCAGCTGGGAAAGTGGTCCGGCCATGGCCGGACCAGCCTGACCGGTTCCGCCGGCCCTGAGATCCAGGAGGCCGCTACGGCGGCACTGCGTCTCCCGGTAGATGCTAAACAGGCACTCACCATAAAACGACGTTCAATCTGTTTATCTAAGATCCACCGCAAGCTCTCTATCCTAGGCCCAGCAGATCTTGCTAACCCTGGTTAGTCAAAATTTGGCTCTGCCTAGAACGAGCAGATAACTAAGTGAGCGGAACCGGGCAATGCCTGGGCCCATGTACGTCATACGCTGCCTGCAAGTCATGGCCATGTGGCTGGAAAAGACAGACGGCCGCCAAGCTTCGAACAAGACCAGAGAAATAGCAACACCAAATGCCGCAAGCCTTCGGAGGCTTCCCCTGTGCCGTTTTTTGAGGGAGAGGAGCCCGCAGGAATGGGTGGACCTCCGCAAGCCATGTCCCTCACCGTCCACATTATTCCAAGAAGCCACCGTGTCAACCCCGGTCACACCAACAGCCAGACAACAAGCAAGGCCCTCTGAAGCCAAACAGCGCCTAATCCGTTTCCCTCTAGAGGTATGCTTGCAGGCACTGCCACCAGAACTGCAGTGCGGATGCACCCAGTTACCCAAGTGGGGTTTGGACTGGAGGTTGCCCGCCTCAGAGGTCCAGTGACGTCCGAGCGGCCTAATTGGTGGTCAGACTTGGAATTGAACCGGTTTGTGCAATACCACCATGCGGGAGGCACTGATAAAGAACGATTTTATGGTGAAAGTGGACCTAACCAACGCATACATGTCAATGCCAGTGCATCCAACCCTCCGTCACTTCCTTTAGGTGCTGTGGCAGAGTCGATAGTACCGATTTGCACCTGTCATGTTTGGCCTGGTATCTGCTCCACGGCAATTCACCAAGCTCCTTTAACCGGTGATCACCTGTTTCCACCAACAGGGTGTACGTCTGGGCGTGTACCTGGACGATATACTGATCATGGCTTGATCATTTCAATAGGCGTTGCAGCATGTGGCCAATCTCATTCATCTGTTGCTGGCCCTGTGCTTCCAGATAAACTTCAGCAAGTCAGAACCTCAGCTCTTACAGGTGTGGGAATTTCTGGGATTCCAGGTTAGGTCAGTAGCCATGACAATAGAACTACCCACAGACAAGGTCCATCGGACGTTGACAACTTGCTGGGGCGTAATTGCCCAGAGGCCTTGCCAGCATCCTGGAGCTGATTTCCTCAGCAGCGCTCTCGATTCTTCCGGCTTTCCGAAGCAGCATTGGAGGATTTGTCTTGGTGGCTTTAGCACCTGGAGGGGTTCAACGGGCGCTCTATTCTTCTGCCAGTTCCAGACCTGGTCATGCAGACGGATGCAGCATCAACAGTCGGCCGTGGAGCAGTCTGTGGTCATCGCCATGCATCAGGACTTTGGACACTGGCGGAGAAGCACATTCTTATCAACTGATTGGAACTACGTGCAGCCTTCTTTGGTCTACAATCACTAGCAAAGGATCTTAGAACCCTCACCACAGCGGCAACTGCCCTGGACGGTTGGCTGAAGTCTCGAGGCCTGATCTTTAACGCCGCCAAGAGCCAGGTTTTGACCATATCTCCTCAGCAGCATGTACAGGAACTAACAGTCAAAAGCGGCGATTGTCTCCTCCCTTCAGCGTCTTCTGCGCGCTACCTCGGCGTTCACCTTGACAATCGCCTAGATTGGGACACCTATGTTGGTGTGATCTTGTATGTACTTCAGAGGACAGGGATCAATTGTATCACATTATTCACCAAAGGATGTACCCAGAGTGCTTTATAGTGCTCAACACCACAAAGGCAGAGCGTAATACACAACAGAACAACAAGGACAATCAAGGCTTGTTTGCTGCTACTTTAAGTTTCATGCTCACGCAATCACAATGAGCCTCTCCACAGGAACCTACCAACCGTACCGAAAACCCAACGACACCCCACTGTATGTCAACGTCAACTCCAATCACCCACCGCAAGTCCTTAAGAACATCCCAGCTGGAATTAACAACCGACTGGCAAGCATCTCCTGCTCAGAGGCGGTGTTCCGTGATGCTATCCCTATCTACGCGGAGGCCCTCAACGCCAGCGGCCACCCTAGCACGCTAGAGTTCAAACAGAAAACAAGCAAAAAGAAGAAAAGGAAGAGGAAGGTGATTTGGTACAACCCGCCCTACAGCCGTAATGTGAAAACAAACATCGGTGGAAGATTCCTCGCGCTCATTAAGAAGCACTTCCCCCCGCAGTCGAAGCTCGGAAAAATATTCACAAAAAACACCATCAAGATAAGCTACAGTTGCATGCCAAATATGGCTGCACGCATCAAAAGCCACAACAAAGCGGTCCTCTGCCCGCAAACGAAAAAACCGGAAAAGCCCTGCAACTGCCGAGACAAGCCATCTTGTCCACTCAACGGTGAATGCCAAACGACGGAGCTGATATATGTGGCATCCATAACGTCAGGCCCCACCAAAAAGGAATACACCGGTATGTCGGCGCCACCATTCAAGTCACGCCATGCCAACCACATGACTACAACAAGATACGAGAAGTACTCCAGCTGCACTGAGTTCTCCAACTACATCTGGAAGCTGAAGAAATCCAACGCCCAATACGAAGTCGAATGGAGGATAAAATATCGCGCCCGGGCATACTCCAACATCACGAAGCGGTGTTCCCTCTGTACCAGAGAAAAGTATCACATCCTGAACACGCTAGGATCACCGTCCAGCCTCAACAAGCGCTCCGAAATGGTGTCCAAGTGCCGACACGAGAACAAGTATCTCCTAAAAAACCACGGTGTCACCTAAACATGTCTCCACAGCCTCCTGCCCACACCATTCACGTTCACACACCTTGCTCATAACACCCTGCCCACACCAGACATATCCACTTACATTGCGCTATTATCACACTGCTAGCTCTACAGCCTCCTGCCTACAACATCCACACGCATTGTTCACCACCTCCTGCCCACACCAGCCACACACTTCGCGCTCACGCTGCACTGCTAGCCCCTGCCTTCAACAACCACA